CCCCCTGTCCCACACAGACCCCCCCTGGGCTGAGCCCCTCGGCGGGGCCGTTCCTGCACATGGCTGTGTCCTTCACCCACCGACACCTCGCGCTCTTCTCCGAGTCTGGCACCGTCTGGATGGGGATGGCCTCGCTCAAGGTGAGCTCACCTGGCCTGGGGGATCCTTGGGAGGGTCCTGTGGGGGTCAGACCATGCTTGGAGAGCCCTGGGGGTCATGCTGATGCCTTCCCTGTCCCCTAAATCCAGCCCTTTCCYGATCAGCTCTGGCCCCAGATGGAGGCAGATGTGGCTGGACCCCTGGTTCCTTCCAGAGCTGAATCTGGAAGCTCCCATGGGACCCTGTGGTGGCACAGCACCCACCCCACATTCCCAGTGCCTGTCCAGGTGCATCCCTGATCCCTCTCCTCTCCCACAGGAAAAATTCTGCGAGTTCAGCACCGGCATCCGCTCCCCGCCCAAGCAGATGGTTTGGTGAGTTGGGGGGTCCCTGCCCTGCCCTTTGGGGGTCCCTGCCCTGCCCTGGCACCCCCAGCCTCTCCCAGGGTGCCCTCGGCTCTGTGGGACCCTCTGGTGTTCCTGCTCTGGGTGTGGGGGTGCAGGGACTCGGGGTTAATGGGATGAGAGCGTTCCCTTGGCTCTTGCCACCCCACTGTTCTTTTGGGATGAACAGGGCCCTTTGCTGTCCCTGCTTCAGGTGTGGGGTCACAGGGGACTGGGATTCACAGGATGGGGCCCTCCCCAGCTCTGTGGGACCCTCTGCTGTCCCTGCTCCATGTTTGGGGTCACAGGGACCTGGGGTTAATGGGATGAGGGTTCCTTTGGTTCTGTGGGGTCCTCTCAAGTCCCTGCTCCAGGTTTGGGGGGCACAGGGATTTGAGGTTAATGAGATGAGGGTCCCTTTGGTTCTGTGGGGTCCTCTCAAGTCCCTGCTCCATGTTTGGGGTCCCAGGGACCCAGGTTAATGGGATTGGGGTCCCGCAGGTGCACGCGGCCCCGCAGCCGGCAGCGAGCCGTGGTGCTGGCCTGGGACCGGCAGCTGATGGTGGTGGGCAATTCCTCGGAGTGCATCCGGTATCCTTTGGGAAAAGGGAACCCTCCTGGTGCTGCTGCCACCTCCTCTGTCACCCACACCGGTGTCCTGGGTGTCCCCTTGGTGTCCTGTCCC